ACAAAGCCAACAGCCAACATCACCTTAAATGGAGAGAGTCTGAAAGCATTCCCCTTGAGAATGGGAACCAGACAAGGATGCCCTTTATCACCACTCTTATTCAACATTATGCCGGCAGTCCTAGCCAGAGCAATTAGGCTAGAAAAAGAAATAAAGGGCATCCAAATTGGTAGGGAAGAAGTCAAAGTATCTCTGCTTGCAGATGATATGATCTTATACACAGAAAACCCCAAACAATCCACAAGAAAACTACTGGAACTAATAGAAGATTTCAGCAAAATTTCAGGATACAAGATAAACATACAAAAATCAGTTGGATTCTTCTACATCAATGAAGAGAACTTCGAAGAGGAAACCACCAAATCAATACCATTTACAATAGCCCCCAAAAAGATAAGACACTTAGGAATAAATCTAACCAGGGACATAAAAGACCTATACAATGAAAACTACAAGACACTACTGCAAGAAACCAAAAGAGACCAGCGTAAGTGGAAAAATATACCTTGCTCATGGGTAGGAAGACTCAACATTGTGAAAATGTCTATTCTATCCAAAGCAATCTACAGATACAATGCAATCCCGATCCAAATTCTAATGGCATTTTTTAATGAGATGGAGAAACAAATCACCAACTTCATATGGAAAGGGAAGAGGCTCCAAATAAGTAAAGCATCACTTAAGAAGAACAAAGTGGGAGGCCTCAAACTATCTGATTTTAGAACCTATTATACTGCCACAGTAGTCAGAACAGCCTGGTACTGGTAGAAAAACAGATATATAGACCAATGGAACAGAATTGAGAATCCAGACATAAATTCATCCACCCATGAGCAGCTGGTATTTGACAAAGACCCTAAATCCGTTAAATGGAGAAAAGACAGTCTCTTTAACAAATGGTGCGGCGGAACTGGATATCCATTGGCAAAAAACTGAAACAAGACCCATACCTCACACCATGCACAAAAACTAACTCAAAATGGGTTAAAGACCTAAATATAAAATGTAAAACAATAAAGATACTGCAAAACCTTGACAAGAAAAAGATAACCCAATTAAAAAATGGGCAAAGGATATGAAAAAGGGACTTCACCAAACAAGACATTCAGGTGGCTACCAGATACACGAGGAAATGCTCACAATCATTAGCCATTAGAGAAATGCAAATCTAAACTACAATGAGATACTATCTCACACCAACAAGGCTAGCATTAATCCAAAAATACCAAATAATAAATGCTGGAGAGACTGGAACACTTATACACTACTGGTGGGAATGTAAAATGGTACAACCACTTTGGAAATCGATTTGGCACTTCCTTAAAAAGCTAGAAATACAAGTATCATATGATCCAGCAATCCCACTCCTTGGAATACATCCTAGAGAAATAAGAGCTGTCACATGAATAGATATATGCACACTCATGTTCATTGCAGCACTGTTCACAGTAGCAAAAAGATGGAAACAACCTAGGTGTCCATCAACGGATGAATGGATAAACAAATTATGGTATATTCACACAATGGAATACTACATAACGATAAAGACGACAATGAATCTGCGAAACATCTCATAACATGGATGAATCTGGAAGGCATTATGCTGAGTGAAATTAGTCAGTTGCAAAAGGACAAATATTGTATGAGACCACTATTATAAGAACTCAAGAAAAGGTTTAAACACAGAAGAAGACATTTTTTGATGGTTATGAGGGTGGGGAGGGAGGGACAGTGGTATTCACTAACTAGATAGTAGATAAGAATTGTCTTAGGTGAAGAGAAGGACAACACAGAACACAGGGGAAGTCAGCACAACTGGACTAAACCAAAAGCTAAGAAGTTTCCTGAATGCAACCAAACACTTTGAGGGAGAGAGTAGCAAGGGGCGGGGGTCTGGGTCCGTGGTTTCTGGGGACATCTAGGTCAACTGGCATAGCAAAGTTTATTAAGAAAATGTTCTGCATCCCATTTTGGTCATTGGCATCTGGGGTCTTAAAAGCTAGCGAGCAGCCATCTAAGATGCATCAATTGGTGCCAACCCACCTGGCGCAAAGAAGAATGAAGAACACTGAAGACACAAGGAAAATATTAGCCCAAGAGGCAGAAACAGCCACATAAACCAGAGACTTTATCAGCCTGAGACCAGAAGAATGAGATGAAGCCCGGCTACCACCAATGACCACCCTGACAAGGAACACAACAGAGAGTCCCTGATGAAGCAGGTGAAAAGTAGGGTGCAGAACTCAAATTCTAGTTAAAAAAAAAAAAAATACAAAAACACCAGACTTAATGGTCTGACTGAGACTGGAGGAACCCTGGAAGACATGGCCCTGGGACTCTCTGTTAGCCCAGAACTGAAGCCGTTCCTGAAGCCAACTCTTTAGATAAAGATTAGACTGGACTCTAAGAAATAAAATGATACTTATAAAGACAGTGCTTCTTAGCTCGAGTAGATGCATGAGACTAAATGGACAGCTCTTGTGTGGAGGCATGATGAGAAGGCAAAAAGTGACAGGAGCTGGTTGAATGGACACGGGAAATGCGGGCTGGAAAGGAGTAGTGTGCTGTCTCATTATAGGGAGAACAACTAGGGTCACATAACAATGTGTGTATAAATTTTTGTATGAGAAACTAACTTGAACTGTAAACTTTCACTTAAAGCACGATAAAAAAAAAGAATAGTTCTTTCTATATGAATTTCATATCTAAGAAATTTTTACTGATAAAAGGGCTTCTCAGAACACAGAACCTTGTGAGCCATATTTATGTATATCTCACCTTCAAGTGACAGGTCCTTTGGAAACTCACTCAATTGTTTAACTGGCATCTCCATTCTCATGTTTCCTAGAAAAGTGTCTAGGTTGCTGACATCAACCCTATCTCCTAGGGAAAAAACAGAAATGACAAAAACAATAAGAATGGGAAATATTAATGATTTTCATTCATGAAGAATACTACCTACATCACTATATCATATTCTATCTCAATGTGAAAAGAAAAGGTTTTTGGACATGTATTCAAACGTACACTGTAAGTGATTCTGTCAGAATCAGAAATGTGAGCCTTTGATTACCTAACAAGAGATATGACCATAAAGCACAGGAACACTTAACCTAGTATATAATCCACATCATATTGGACATGAAGTTATTCATTGCTATTGGGAGAGGCTAAAAAGACACAATATTTAATATGCAGCAAATAAAGTGTCAAGTAGCTATAGAGTGGAGAATGTACCCTGAGGAGAAAGTGATTTTTTTTTTTTTCTGCAATGATAAATTCAGTATTCTCTGCTGGTTATTTGATCAGGAAGACATAACAATCATAAATGTATATGCGCCTAACAGGAGAGGCTAAATAACATAAAACAAAATTGACAGAATTAAAGGGAGAACTAGAAAATAGAGTAATCATAATTGGAAACTTTAGCACTTCTCTCTCAGCTAATGGTGGAACAGCTACAAAAAAGTCAGTACATACTACAAATTAAACACGCTCATCAAAAGACTCCACCAAAAGAGTAAAAAGAGAACCTAAAAACTGGGGAAAAAAATTTGGCTACAACATATCTGACAAGGGTCTAATCTCTAAATTCTATAGAATACTTCAATACCTGAACAACAAAAAGATAAATAATCTGGTTAAAAAATGAGCAAAGGATATGAATAGACACTTCACCAAAGAAGACATTCAGGCAGCTAACAGACACATGAGAAAATGCTTGTGATCATTAGCCATTAGGAAAATGCAAATCAAAACTACAGTGAGATACCGTTTCACCCCAACGTTACTGGCAGAAATCAAAAAAACAGAAAATAACAAGTGTTGGTGAGGCTGTGGGGAGATTGGAACTCTTAGGCGCTACTAGTGGAAATATAAAATGGTACAACCACTATGGAAAACAACATGGCACCTTCTTAAAAATTTAGAAATAGAAATAACAGACAATCCAGCAATCCCACTCCTAGCAATATATCCTAGAGAAGTAAGAGCTGTCACACAAATAGGCATACGCACACGCATGTTCATTGCAGCATTATTCACAACAGCAAAAAGATGGAAACAATCTAAGTGCCCATCAACAGATGAATAGATAAATATAATACATACACACAACGGAATACTATGTAACAATAAAGAACAATGATGAATCTGGGAAACATCCCACAATATGGATGAATCTGGAGGGCATTATGCTGAGTGAAATAAATCAATCACAAATGGACAAATATTGTATGAGACCACTATTATAAAGAACAAAGAAAAGGTTTACAAACAGAAAAAGAACAATTTTTGATGGTTACGGGGGAGGGGGAGAAAATCACTAACTAGATAGTAGACAAGTTAACTTGGGTGAAAGGAAAGATAACACACAATACAGGGGAAGTCAGCACAACTTGACCAAGGCTAAGTCATAGAAACTTCCTAGATAACATCCAAACACCTTGAGGAACGAATTATTGGGGCTCAGGGCTATGGACCATGGACTCAGGGCACGTCTATATCAACTGGCATAACAGTTCATAAAGAAAATGTTCTACATCTTACTTCGGTGAGTAGTGTCTGGGGTCTTAAAAGCTTGTAAGCAGCCATCTATTAGTCCCATCCCATCCAGAGCAAAGGGGAATGAAGAAAACCAAAGACACAAGGAAAATATTAGTCCAAAGGACTAACGGACCACATGAACCACAGCCCCCACCAGCCTGAGCCCAGAAGAACCAGATAGTGCCTGGCTACCACCAACAACCACTCTGACAAGGATCAGAATAGAGGGTCCCAAACAGAGCAGGAGAAAAATGTAAAACAAATTTCAAATTCACAAAGAAGTCCAGACTTGCTGGTCTAACAGAAAATGGAGGAATCCCTGAGACTATGGTCCCTGACACCCTGCTAACTCAGAACTGAAGCCACTCTCAAGTCCACCTTTCAGTCAAAGATTAGATAGGCCTAGGAAACAAACAATAACACACATGAGGAATGTGCTTCTTAGTTCAATCAAGTATACAAGACCAAATGGGCAACACCTGCTCAAAAGCAAAGACAAGAAGGCCAGAAGGGACAGGAAACCTGGACAAATGGACATGAGGAACCCAGGGTGGAAAACGAAAGGGGAGGGGAGGGGAAGTGCTGACACACTGCAGGGATTGCAACCAAGTCACAAAACAATTTGTGAAAAAATTTTTTAATAAGAAACTAATTTGCACTATAAACTTTCACTTAAAGCACAATAAAATAAAATTTTAAAATGCAAACAAGTAAAAGTAAGCAAATACTGACTCTAAAACAATAATTATAAAGTTTTCCAAGGTTAAAAAAAGTCAGTACAGACAGAGATGATCTGAACAATCAACTGCCTTTGCTTAATTGATATTTATAAAATGTTACACTCTTCAACTACAGAATACTCATTCTTTGCAAGTGCACATAATACATTCACCAAAATAGACCATATGTTGGGCCATAAAACAAGTACCAATAAATTTAAAAGGACTGAAATTGTACAGCATATGTTCACTGGTCATAATGGAATTAAATTAAATGTAGCAATAAACTAACTAGGAGAACTCCAAATATTTGGAAATTAAACAACACATTTCCACATAGTCTATGGGTTAAAAAAGAAATCACGAGTGATTTAGAACATATCTCAAACTAAATGATGATGAAAACAAAACATATCAGCATTTATGGGATGCAGTTACACCAGTGTTTAGCAAGAAATTTATAGGATTACATCCTTATATTAGAAGAGAGATCTAAAATCAGTAACCTAAGGTTCCATCTTAAGCTTAAAAAAGGAAAGAAAAGTAAACCCAAAGCATATAACAGGAAAGAAATAATAAAGGTAAGAGCAGAAATCAATAAAATATAAATCAGACAAAATATAGAGAAAATTATCAAAGCCAGAAGGTGGTTCTTTGAGAAGATCAACAAAATTGATGAAGTTCAAAAGAGATTGGTCAAGGAAATATATAAAAATAGAAATTACCAGTCTCAGAAATAAAAGAGAGTAATCACAACAAATCATACAGACACACAAAAAAATAAGAGAATATTATTAACAAAGTTATGCTACCCAATATGACAAATTAGATGAAATGGATTTTTTAAAAAATACAGCTTACTAAATCTGACAAGATGAAACAGAAAACCTGAATAGTTCTATATCAAAGAAATTTCTTTCATAATTTAAAGCCTTACCATAAAGAAAATTCCATGTCCAGATGGCCTCACTGTTGAATTCTACAAAATATTTAATGAAAAAAAGTACTTCTAAACTTACACAAACTTCTTCAGAAAATAAGTAAGAAGACTTCCAACTTATTTTATAAGGTTTGGCATTATCCTAAAATCAAAACTTAGACAAAGACATAACAAGAAAGCTATAGACCAAGATTCCTCATGAATATAAACACAAAAATTTAACAAAACATTATCAAATCAAATCCAGCAATATATAATAAAAATACATGACCAAGTGGAGTTTATCAATGGACTGCAAGATTGGTTTATCGTTTAACATTCAGTCATTGTAATTCACCATGTTAATAGAATAAAGGAGAAAAACAATATCCTCATTTTACTAGATATAGAAAAAGGATTTTACAAAATGCATTTATGATAAAAGCTGTCAGCAAACTGGGAAGAGAATTTCCCCAAACTGGGCCTTTAAAAAAAAACCTACATCTAACATCATACTTAATGGTGAAAGGGTGAAGGTTTTATTCCTAAAGTCAGAATAAGGCATGAATTTCCACTCTCAACACTTCTATTGAACATTATATTGGAGGTGTTAGCCAATAAAATAAAGCAAGAACAAGAAAAACAAAACGCATAAAGAATGGAAAGAAAGTCGTACCACTGTTTCTATTTGCAAATGATATGACATAGAAAATCCTAAGGTAACTACCAAAAATACCAGAACTGGTAAGAGAATTTAGCAAAGTCACATAGTACAAAAGCACATCAATCAATTCAATTTTAATATATTAGCAGCCAACAAGTGTTCCATTTTATTCTTTAAAACAGTGTTTTCCAATTGTGTTCTGAAGAACTCAGGAGAAATTAATAGGTATGATACAAAAGGGTTCTGTACCAACTTGAGGTTACCCTTGGGAAGTGAGTGAAGACGTGAATATAATAGGGCTGGGAATGGTGGAGGGGACTTCAACTGTAACTGAACATATTTAATTCTTTAAATAAATAAATAAAAAGTCTAAAGCAAATATAACAACATGTTAAAATTATGTTCTATATCTTTGTGTCTGAAATATTTAATAATTTACAATAAGTAAAACAATCAAAATAAAAATAAAGAGTTTTGTGACCTAACAGATTCAGTATCTGCTGCGTACTCTATCAAATTCTTAAACATATAAAAGCTCTGAATAGTCTAGCAGCAGAGAAATTTGTTTACTACTCCAGTATTTTTCAAATTAACCATAGAATATTAATTGACATACCAGTTAATATCCCATGGGCCAGCATTCACAGACAGCAGTTTTTGATATGCTGCTTTGTAATTTGTACCTGGTTATTTCCCAAAGTAATTTGAGGAATTATTCAATGAAAGATTAATATATTTAAATATAAATACAAATAAAAATTTTAAAATACAGGAGAAGAAGGTAGTAAATAACAAATAAATAAAGCTAATATAGTTACAGTGACTAAATATTAAATTTTGGTCTGAGCTTCCTGGTAGCTAAGGCATAAAAAAGAACTGAGGTTATCATTTATATAAGGCACTCTGGTACTTTGGGAAAGAGAAATTTTTTCTGATATTAAATTTCAAGAAAAATGTGTCGTATTTACCATTAAGTAACATAATGAACAAAGTCTTCAGGAGATACTGTAATACTTTTCACATGGTTGTTTTTAATGCCAGTTCTTAAAAAGAGCTGAGGAATATTATTAAAAAGTTCCCCCCAAGAGAAGGCATTTCTATAAAATATCTCTTCATAAATATTTTTGATTTGTCAAAGCTATCATGCGTGCCTGTCCAAATGTATGTGGGAAATGGTCAAAGAGTAAATTTTGAGCCCCTGCAACCATAGGGGGCATTTAATAATGTACAATATGAAGTGATCTGGAAGTGGATATAGTTTTCAGCCTGAAGTCAGAATTACTCTTCCCACCTAAAAGTACAAAATATAAAACATTCATTTCTTTTCAGTAGTATGGAAGCAAGAAAAAGGGCAACTCTTCAGAGAAGCCAAAGGCCTGAGATTACAGAAAAACTATACAAACCAAAAGAAAGGTCCTTAGCATTATAATTGATAAACACTAAACTAAAATTAAACTTCAATTTAGTATATGAAGAGAAATAACCAAAGAAAACAAAGTTCAAAAAAGCAAGAGAAATCCAAAACAGAATAAAAATTACTCTCTTAATATTAACAAAGGTTCTTCACCAGTTTTTTGGTGAAGAAGAATGATAATATCAGAAACCCATTATTTACCATATATTAATATGCCTCATTCAATTATACTTAAGTTAGAATAACTTGTAGTCTGACTACAAGTGCTGGTTCAGTTATTTTTAACTAATTTTAGTTTTATCTTCATAAGGTCCTTAATGAGAGACAATTGCAGTCAAGACTGGTGCTCAAACTAAGCAGAATAGGTAACTAACACTCCCTAAAGATCACGGTCTTTTCTAGTCTTGCTACACATTATACATGTAGGGCACAAAGACATTAGAAAATTATGCCAGGGCCAGATAAGTTTAAAACAATCTCAAAGCCTATCTGGTATTTTCTCAAGAGATCTACAACACATATATCATTACTGATTTTTATTCAACTGGAAATTCTTACTCACTTTCACGTAGAGATGAAAATCTTGAACTGCTTAAATTGTCCATAAACTCTTCTAAATTCACTGTCCCATCCTCTTAAAAAATGCATATCAGAGAATATAGGAAAGGTAAATAATTAGAGATCAGGGACAGGCAACACAGTATAATTGCTATATTGAAAAATAATTTATAGACTTGGCCTTGAAACACAGTTAGAGATCTATATTCAGGCAGAAAGACAGATGCATGCATACTCATTCAGACACACACTCATCCTCTGTGGATCCTCCTCTGCATGTTGCTACTGAGAATACATAGAACCCAGCTGACGATAACTAGAACCCAGTTGGTTAAGAATTAGATGAAAGCCTTGGAAAATCCATAAAGTGGACAAGTCCTTTAAGGATTCTTGAAAAATTCAAACAGATACACTTCAGCAAGATAAAGGATACCCAAAAACATTAAATACTCACCCCTGAAAGTCACATTCTTCAGTGTTCTTTGAATCACATCTTGGCACACTGGAACTCCTATACTTTTCATTATGGAACCTAGGTCATCAGGATTGGTCACATTTCTCCTAATGGAGGCCAGGGCTTTCAAGGGGCCTTCTATTTCTATATGCAAAAAACATATATAACGTATGAGGTTTAAAAAAACTCAAATATAAATATAGTCCTGAATAGTAACAATAACAACAACAACAACTAAGTACTCAGTTTGAGCTTGCTAGGCACTATGATAAGTGCCTACATACACCATATAATCTAATCCCATAAAAACTCTGTGAGGTCAGTACTAATATTTCCCTCATTTAACAGATAAGAAAACCTAGGTTTAGAGAAATTATTCTACCTAAAAATACAAAGTTACTAAATATGAAGCCAGGTCTGAAGTCCAGGTTATTTGATTCCATACACTGAATGTTTAATCATTATGCTAACCAAGTCACTGCAGATATATAAATTTGAAATTTAAGAATGATTACATAAAAAGAAATCTTAGAACATCTTCTTACATTCTTCGCTATCATCTGAGGTTGGGAATTCTATTAAAACTATGGTAGCAAATCATAAAAGTGATTATCTTGCCAAAAATTGGTTAACTGGTCATAGGTTTTTGTGGCTATTCTCAATGAATTTTTTTCATTCAATGTATCACTCCCATGTGCCAACATACACACAAAAATGTTCCCCCAACACCCATGAAAAGTTTTGCATTGCTATATCAATAACAAAAGAAAGATAATATTTATTTTTGAAAGTACTATCTATAAATGCCTAATTCAAGTAAGGAAAAAATTTTATTATGATAAAACCAAAAACCAAATCCACTGCCATCGAGTCAATTCTGACTCATAGAGACCAAGCACTATCATATTAGCACGAATTCTGTAAGAGATTTGCTTATGAACCACCCACCTGGGAAAGTCTTATAGGCCCCATTTAGAAAACCAAGGATTAAGGACAAAATATTTTGGTCTACTGAAAACTCATACCAGTCTGACCACATCCTAAGCTGCTAGGCTCAGGAGAACAATTTCATTTCATAACTACTTAAACCAGACCTTTTAAAATTAGTTCCATTGCAATTAAAGATACTAGAGGAAATTAATGCATTTTAGTTCTTTTCAAGATAATGGGCTGCTCTGAGGAGACCCAGGACACCCAGAACAGTTGTGGACTTACTAACCTAAGCTCATTTAGCCCAAACTTCAGGGAGACCCAGAAGTTTCACAGCCACCTTTAGCAGTTGGTGATGCCAGTTCATTAACTTACATCAAATTACATCCAATGCCTCATGGCTAGGATAGTGGAGTGGTGGGAAGAATACCATGGGTGAAGCCTATATGTTTCAATATGTTCCTATATGTTTCAACAGTTAATCTTCCTATAATAAAAATCCCCTTTGAAGGAAGGAATAATAGGATTAAAAAAAGAGGAGGAAACACTGATCTTTTTCCTGCAGGATTTCAGCAAAACGGCCAATGTATCATCACCAACTGATGGCAGCCATCTTGAATCACAAACTCGGACACTAAGAAGAACTATCCAGGTAGATGTTGTATAGTGCAACTTTTCTGAGTGATGAAAAAATATACTGTAAATCCAGAAAATATACTATAAGCCTATAAAAGGTACAGCTAGAACTCCCTATTGATTCTTCACCCAAAGTACATTTGTTATATATATGTGTGTGTGTAATATACGTATATGGCTTGCTTTACAGCATTAGAAAAACCACACAATGCATATAATCAAAAGTAAACAATACCATTATTCCATTCAAAATTTTATTGTTACATAATTCTCACTCACCTGAACTTTTAGTAAAATATGGCGTTTTTGTCAACCCAGTCATGAAATCTTTTAAGACCACATTTCCTTTGTCTGAAAATGAAACATAAAGGAATAGTCTTTCATCAAAAGATAGAAGAGAGTGGGGTCAGAATATATGCATACCTACTTAATCTTCAAAATTATAATTAGTCCTGTTTTTCTAACCCTGATTCTTCTACACACACCTCAACCTAACTATGAAAAGGAATATGACTATGATGACTCTTGTGGTGTTTGTTGCTATAAAGCCAATGAGCATTTTATGGATTTTATACATGTCTTAACCAATCGGGACCATTGTTTGGATATGTTTCCTTTCTGATACCGTATTTTCTCTTTTAATTTTTCAGCATTACAAATCTTATTATAACTGCTTTTATTTTTGTGGAAGACAATTTATCTACCAAAAGATAAGCACCCTGAGCCAAACTCAACTACAATATCTAAAGAAGACTATATATATTTATGAGCAAAGATATATTAGTAAAGGAAGCATGAAGTCTTTCACTTTCTATCAGTCATAATCAGTCATATACTTGGAACTTAAGAAGAAAAAAAAAAGAACGTCACAAAGCTCTGCATGTAAGCTAAACATTCCACTGGTAGGACTCCAGAAACACTAGTGTAGCCCTTTTAGGATTCTGGGGAGACCAACTGGTTCTGTGTACCACCAAGCCTTTGTTCAGTGAACCCGAAACAGCTTCACAGATCATGATCAAATAAAAACCCACCAATTTGTGATACAAACCTCAGGAGACAAAGAAATGGGAAGGAAAGAAGAGTATACAGTGAAATTTGTGAAAGCCGGAACCTGTATAAAGTGGAAAGCTGTCAAGAGAAAGAAAACTCAAATATTTTTCACGATAACAAGTGATAGAAAAGTGGTAAGACTGCACCCTGTCAAAGGCGGAAAACTTGCAAGACCCAGAAAAACAAGGCAGTCCCATCAAGTTCCCGCTCTCACAGGTTTTAGTGTAAGTACTTTCCTAGAATATTCAATATGAAGATAGTGCAGAATAAATTCTCACCTAAGCCTAAAAGGGAAAATCTTGTGCTGTTGAACTCATTACATTTGATTACTAATCACTCAGCCGTGTGTATTTATGAGTAAAAAGTAAACACAAGCTTTATACACAATAAGTGACTCAGGAAAGGAAATACTTACTATCAATGGTAGTGGATGTGAGTACTTCCTGTAGCTCCTCCTCTGGAAAATAAATCCCCAAGCCTTTCAGTATAGATTTTATGTCATCAACATGAACCTTTTCATTGGTGACCTTGTCTAAGGCCTTTGCAAGTTCATTAACCTCTATCAAGAGAAAATAATTTCAGTTTAGATACAAATTCTAAATAACTTGAAATATAATTCCAAAAATTAGTATAGATACACAACACTTTTCATTTGAAGATAATATAGCACAGTGAAATTCAAATTTAATACTCTCTTGATGTAGGTATGTATTAACTCCCACGTGATACAGATAAAAGATCAACCATAAGACAAACTGATAGTAGGAATTAATCTTTGGAATTGTCTCATCTATCTCTGCTTCTGCATCCTTTCCCTTGTGTGTTTTGGAAACATTAAGAAGACTGCTTCCCAATTACTGCCACCTCAATCTGCCTCTTTTCCATGTCTTCACTAAAACTTAACTTGTCTTATACCTACTTCCTTTCCCTCAGGGCTGAGAACCCTGGATACAAGGTGACAGTTAACTAATCTGCTAATAGAATCTTTATTTTTTTAATAACTGGAAATTAATGTAGGCGTCCCCGGGTGGTGCAGTTAAGGGCTCAACTACTAGCCGAGAGGTTGGGGTTGAAATCCACCCAAAGGCACCTCAGAAGACAGGCCTAAGTTTTTCAAGGTTTTTACAGCCTTGAAAACCTTATAGAGCAGTTCTACTCCGCACATATGGGCTCACCATGAGTCAGAATCAACTCAATGGCAACTAACAGTGTTACTCTAAGAGGGAGAGTTTCACTCCCACATGTTACTCTCCCCTAATTATGATAAGAAACACTTTAGTAGTGACCTAATACAGATAATAACTTGGTACAAAGGAACACCCTGATGGTAGCAGTTCCTGATGCTGTGGAAGATTCTAAAGAACTTTATTATAGGGGGAGTGACTATCCTTCACATCACTTTACAAAAGTAGTTTAGGGAAAGCCTATATTTATCGTATAATAATATGGTCGATCTGGGTTTGGTCCTTTGGGATCTGAATTTATATCCTCTTCCTGATATGACTGAACTTCCTAGGTACAAAGTGTGTTGACACTGCCTTTGTATTCAGGAAAAGTTTCATGCCTAGATACATATACATACTTTTTTAGCTTCTTTCTGTCTTTTTTTTTTAAATTATATCTTAGTTGAAGGTTTACAGAACTAGTTTCTCATTAAACAATTAGTACACATAATGTTTTGTGACATTGGGTACCAACCCCACGACGCATCAACACTCTCCCTTCTTGATCTTGGGTTCCCCATTACCAGCTTTCCTGTCCCCTCCTGCCTTCTAGTCCTTGCCCCTGGATTGGTGTGCCCCTTCAGTGTCATTTTGTTTAATGGGCCTGTCTAATCTTTGGCTGAAGGCTGAACCTCAGGAGTGACTTCAGTACTGAGCTAAAAGGGTGTCCAGGGGCCATACTCTCAGGGTTTCTCTAGACCCTGTCAGGCCAGAAAGTCTGGTCTTTTTTATTAGAATTTTGTTCTACCTTTTTCTGCAGCTCTGTCTGGGACCCTCTATTGTGGATCCCTGTAAGAGCAGTCGGTGGTGGTAGCCAGGCACCGTCTAGTTGTGTTGGACTCAGTCTGGTGGAGGCTGTGGTAGTTGTAGTCCATTAGTCCTTTGGCTTATCTTTCCCTTGTGTCTTTGGTTTTCTTCATTCTCCCTTGCTCCCAACTGGGTGAGACCAGTGGAGTATCTTAGCTGGCCGCTCACAAGATTTTAAGGCCCCAGACGTTACTCACCAAAGTAAAATGTAGAACATTTTCTTTAAAAACTATGTTATGCAAATTGAACTAGTTATTCTCCGAGACCATGGTCCCCACAGCCCTCAGCCCTGTAATTTGGTCCCTTAGGGAGTTTGGTTGTGTCTATGGAGCTTCCATGACCTTCCCTTGGACAAGTTGTTATGCCTAGAAATAGACACTAAACGTATTATAGCTATGAGGTAGTAATTCCATTACTTATTATCCATTGACTTGGTCATACTGTAATTTTCAATGTTATAAAGTATTTTATCATCCAGAATTTGTGCATTCCCAAATTTATTCTGTGACATGAACACTTTGTACTTAAGTATTCCCCTACAAACATTAGATTCATTCTCATGATGTCCTTTGTGCATGCTAGTCCCCTCACCTAGAATGCCTATCTAAATCTGCCCCTCACCTTACCTCCAATCCAGCAACTAGTTCAAGGGCCATCTGTCCCGTCAAGTTTCCCCAGATAATTACAGTTCATTTTGATCTCATTATATTCCAGTATCTAGAGCCCTTACAGCCAGCGCTACATAATCTAGTGTACTGTTTTCTAAATGTACTTTTTAAACAAGACTCCAGCCTGACTGTAAGCACATTAAGAACAAGAACCTTGTGCTATATTATACTAACTGGTGCAAACACCATGGTGAATATCAAATGTACTCTGTCAATATCTTACTTGGTTACTGACTGTTGTAATTTTTTCTTTCTGTTCCTTCATTGTTTCCATTCTTCTATCAGGTTGTCAACTGCCCAGTCCTATGCCATCCTCACAATCATTATTATGCTTGAGCCCGTTGTTGCAGCCACTGTGTCATTCCATCTTGTTGAGGGTCTTCCTCTTTTTTGCTGACCTTCTGCTTTACCAAGAATGATGTCCTTCTCCAAGGACTGGTCCCTCCTGATAACATATCCAAAGTAGGTAAGACAAAGTCTCGCCACCCTCTCTTCTAAGGAGCATTCTGGCTGTAATTCTTCCAAGACAGATTTGTTCCTTCTTCAGGCTCAGCTGCTAACCGAAAGGTCGGCATGTTCAAATCTACCACCTGCTCCTTGGAAACCCTAATGGGTAGTTCTACTCTGTCCTATAGGGTCGTCGGAATCGACTTGATAGCAACAGGTTTGTTTGGTTTTTTTTTTCCAGGCAGTCCATGGTATATTCAACATTCTTTGCCAACACCATAATTCAAAGGCATCAATTTTTCTTTGGTGTTCCTTATTCATTGTCCAGCTTTCTCATGCATATGAGACGACTAGAAAATACTATGGCTTGGGTCAGGCACATCTTAGTCTTCAAAGTGACATCTTTGCTTTTTAATACTTTAAAGAGGTCTTTTGCAGCAGATTTACCCAATGAAATACATCGTTTGATTTCTTGACTGCTGCTTCCATGGGCATTGATTATGGATCCAAGTAAAATGAAATTCTTGAAAACATCAATATTTTCTCCATTTATCTTGATGTTGCTTACTGGTCCAGTTGTGATGATTTTTGTTTTCTTTATGTTGAGGTGTAATCCAAACTGAAGGCCATCAACAATAAGTGCTTCAAGTCATCTTCACTTTCAGTAAGCAAGGTTGTGTCATCTGCAAATCACAGGTGGTTAATGAGTCTTCTTCCAATCCTGATGCCATGTTCTTCTTCATATAGTCCAGCTTCTTGTTTATTTGCTAAGCACACAAAATGAATAAGTATAGTGGAAGGATATAACCCTGACGCACACCTTTCCTGACTTTAAACCACGCAGTATCCCCTTGTTCTACATAGAGGTTCCTCACGAGCACAATTAAGTGTTCTGGAATTCCCTTTCTTTGCAATGTTATCCATCATTTGTTATGATCCACACAGTCAAATGCCTTTGTATAGTCAATAAAACACAGGCAAACATCTTTCTGGTATTCTCTGCTTTCAGCCAAGATCCATCTGACGTCAGCAATGATATCCCTTCATTCTACATCCTCTTCTGAATCCAGCAGTTACCTGTCAATGTACTGCTACAACCACTTTTGATCTTCAGCAAAATTTTACTTGTGTGTGATATTAACGATATTATATGATAATTTCCTCAATCTGTTTGATCACCTTTCTTTAGAATGGGCACAAATATGGATCTCTCCCAGTCGGTTGGCCAGGAAGTTGTCTTCCAAATTTCTTGACGTAGACAAGTGAGCACCTCCAGTGCTGCGTCTATTTGTTGAAACATTTCAGTTGGTATTCCATCAATTCCTGGAGCCTTGTTTTTAGCCATTCCCTTCAGTGCAGCTTGGACTTCTTCCTTCAGTACCATTGGTTCTTGATCAGAAGCCACCTCCTGAAATGGTTCAACATCAACAAATTCTTTTTGGTACAGTGACTCTATATAGTCCTTCCATCTTCTTTTAATACTTCCTGCATTGTTCAATATTTTCCCTGTAGAACCCTTCAATATTGCAACTCGAGGCTTGAAATTTGTTCTTCAGTTCTTTCAGCTTGAGAAATGCTGGGCCTGTTCTTCCCTTTTGGTTTTCTAACTCTAGGTCTTTGTACATTTCATTATAATACTTAACTTTGTCTTCTCGAGATGCCCTTTGAAATCTTCTGTTCAGCTCTTTTCTTCATCATTTCTTCCTTTCACTTTAGCTGCTCTATGTTCAAGAGCAAGTTTCAGAGTCTCTTCTGACATTCATTTTGGTCTTTTCTTTCTTTCCTGTCTTTTTAATGACCTTTGCTTTCTTCATGTATGATGTCCTTGATGTCATTCCACAACTCGTCTGGCAAGGTCCACATGTATAGTCGCCGTTTATGTTGTCAGAAAAACGTATCATGAAGAAGTCATTGGTCTTGCCAAATCCTATCATGCCATGTATTTAACTACTTGTTTATAATTTATGAAGCACTTCTATGTGCGTTATTTCATTTGATCCTCACCAAAAAAATGCTGTAAAATATACAGGACAGGCACTATTTAACCTATAATTAGAGGCATATATCCATATTTTGCATATTAGATCAGGTCACTTGCCCAAGATCATAATCAAAGAACATTAGTCTAGAACAGAAGCCTCCTGGTTCAGAGTATGATGCTCTTTCTACTACAAATAATAGCAAATGGCCTCCCAATTAATCTCCTTTGTTGCCGTATCCAATAGTCTCAGCCTTTATTGTCCTCTGTATAATTTGGGTGATGGACTACCCACCCTCACTTTTTAATTAAAAAGTAATTTCCCCCCTCCAATTTCAGAATTAGAAATATGCTATGTTCTTAATGGGGGAGGGCTTAATGGGGAAGCAATAGTGTTTCAGTAGTAGAATTCTTGCCTTCCATGCAGGAGGCCTGG